CAAAAATAACACTAATAAAAAAACATGAAAGATGTGAGTACAACATGATAAAACTTGAAAATAATAGAATGAGGTTAAGGGGTTAAGCACTTTGGTCTGAAATATACAAAAATAACACTAATAAAAAAACATGAAAGATGTGAGTACAACATGATAAAACTTGAAAATAACAGAATGAGGTTAAGGGGTTAAGCACTTTGGTCTGAAATATACAAAAATAACACTAATAAAAAAACATGAAAGATGTGAGTACAACATGATAAAACTTGAAAATAACAGAATGAGGTTAAGGGGTTAAGCACTTTGGTCTGAAATATACAAAAATAAACACTAATAAAAAAAAACAAGAAAGATGTGAGTACAACATGATAAAACTTGAAAATAACAGAATAAGGTTAATAAGGTTTTTACACAAGCTTAACTTTAAAATAGAAAAAGTATTTGTTTAAACCAAATTTTTCACCAACAAATTAAGTTGAATAAAACCACCACTATTAAACTTTTAGGAATTACAACAGTTGCACACAGATTTTTTTAATTCAGTTGCTATTTAAGTGATCCTTCTTTATATATATATTTTTTTTTTCAACAAGGTAAGCTTACACAAGACTTCTCTAGACATGAGCTCTAATTGTATAAACCTGACTGTCAAACCCAAGAACATGACGGAATTTCAGTGTCTGTTAACCCATTAACTGCAGATGATGGATATTTCCGTCAGTCGCACATATATAACTATAACTCTATAGTTTTTATTGTGATGGATGGCAACTCGGTTTTATCAGTGAGTCAGAAAACGGCAACTGAGCTGCTCCTGCCACAGTTATTGGGTTAATACTGTACTTACAAAGCATTTTATATATATATACAAATACAGACTAGCTGAGGAAAAACACACTTTCTCTTACACATTAGTAATTGTTTCAAACAACAATAGTTGTATACGTACATCTTAATATGTTCCTTTGTTCGAGTTCTTCTGGTGTTGGCCTTAAACTCAGTCGGCTGTTGAAAAGATGGCAATAGGTATTCATAAGGAACATCTCGTGTGATACAAAAAACAAGTATTGTAAGTATTTGTAAGAAACATCTGGTGTGATACAGAAAACAAGGTATTGTAAGTATTTGTAAGAAACATCTGGTGTGATACAGAAAACAAGTTATTCTAAGTATTTGTAAGAAACATCTGGTGTGATACAGAAAACAAGGTATTGTAAGTATTTGTAAGAAACATCTGGTGTGATACAGAAAACAAAGTATTGTAAGTATTTGTAAGAAATATCTGGTGTGATACAGAAGTTTTGAAATATGAATTTATTCTCTACACTGGGTTAAAACAATTAGAGTTCATTTTATGTATGTATCAAGTTAATTTTTCAAAGTGGTAGCAAACTACACAATCTTTTGGTGTACTACATTTGTCTACGAGCTAACATGTTCGTCGATTCACAGAATCGTGTGGCACTATTAGGTTTAGCTGTAGACCTTATATGATGTTATGACTAATTCAACTTATTACCATCTGAGGATATTCAGAGCTGAGCTTTTAGACAGGAACGACACAGTACCTTTTTTTTTTAAGATTTTCAAAAGACTAAAATCTACATTTTATCAGAACTTTCAAAGGAAACACCGCATGAAATGACATATACTGTGAGTAATTTAGAATAATTAACAAATTCTATTATTGGCCAAAGCTAGCAACTTCAAGTCGTTAGGTTATCTGAAGATACATTTCGATTAGTAACGGCTTGTTGTAGTAAAAACTAATATAATTTTCCTACACAGACAATAAAAGAATTACCACATTATACATGTCTTTGTGTTTCAGTTACTCATACAGATGGAAAATTTCAAACCATTATCTACAGAACTAGTTAACAAAATCTAGGTATGTAATAGTAATTAGTTTTACCTCCTACACAAAATTTATAAACCAATACATTGATTTTTTGGTTCCTTATTTTATGGTGTATTATTGTACCTTGTTATATGGTTTATTATCCAACTTTAATATCAGTTAATTTACGCATTCAAATATATTATATAAAGTTTTTTTACTTTAGCTGTAGCTTAGAATGCTTTCAGCATGAAGTTTTCAGACTTACCTTATAAGCCTGTTCCCTGACAGCTTCCCACTTCTCCTGTTTTCAGACTTACCATATAAGCCTGTTTCCTACAGCTTCCCACTTCTCCTGTTTTGAAGCTTACCATACAAGCCTATTTTCAACAGCTTCCTATTTCACCTGTTTTGAAACTTACCGTATAAGCCTGTTTCCTACAGCTTCCCAGCTCTTATGTTTTGAAGCTTACCTTACAAGCCTGTTTTCAACAGCTTCCCATTTCTCCTGTTTTGAAACTTACCGTATAAGCCTGTTTCCTACAGCTTCCCAGCTCTCCTGCTTTTCTTTTTCAGACTGCACTTGAAGGATATTTTTGTCAATGAGTTCCTGTCTGTTTGGTCGCTGGGCTAATTTCATTGCTAAGGAATCTTTCCTGGCAATTTTAGCCGCTAAACGGGCTAAATTAAAAATAAAAAGAGAGAAAGATGAACTTATGTAAATAAAATAAATCAGAAGGTAAAAAAACTACTTATCCCTAAATTCAGGCCTTTGTTTTTCATAATGAAAAAGGCACAGAACTGCAAACTAAATGAATATGTTAGAAAGTGTAGTACTTTGTTCTGAAACATGGTAAAAAAACCTAAGTTTGTACAACATAAAAACCCACTCAGTATAACGCACGGCAAAAATCTTGGTAAACGTATACTTTCTTTGCATCTGTTATAATTCAATGGACCTATATATACCATCTAGAACACCAATTCTCAACCACTGGCCTACCGTAACTACCTTGTGGGTCCATGGGATTTCACAAAAACAAACAGAATATTTACATATATATCGTAATGGTTTTTTTTAGTACCCTGACCGTTTACGGTGGCAGCGAGTCAGTCACTGGTATTGAAGAGGTTGAGAAATGTTGACACATGATTGATAAGAGGTATAATTAATTTTTTTTTCCCTAATTTTCATGTAATTCCTTTACTAAAAGTATGTGTCATGAAATTCTCCAACTCAACCCGGTATCAGTTTTAGTGAATTCTAGGACAATCAAGTTGTAAACTCTACACACTTTGTAATGTCATGAACGTGTAATGAGATAATACCTGTTTAATAAAACAAAGTAATTATAAAAATATGGAAAATAGAATACAGTATTCACTAAACAAAGTGCCAATCTTGGGCAATTTATTTATAATTTTTTTCTTCACCAAAACAGGAATTTCAGTGAAGAAAAGATGATGTACAGGCTTAACATATTCTATGATTTGCTACTCCCACTGCGACACACTCACAGCTCATTAGTGCCAACTGGAAGAGCCAAGGAAATAATAAATAAAGTAGGCCTAACTCATATCTCATTAGTGCCGAATGGAAGAGCCTAGGAAATAATAAATAAAGTAGGCCTAACTCAAAGCTCATTAGTGCCGACTGGAAGAGCCAAGGAAATAATAAATAAAGTAGGCCTAACTCAAAGCTCATCAATGCCGAATGGAAGAGCCAAGGAAATAATAAATAAAGTAGGCCTAATCTCATATCTCATTAGTGTTGAATGGAAGAGCCAAGGAAATAATAAATAAAGTAGGCCTAACTCATATCTCATTAGTGTTGAATAGAAGAGCCAAGGAAATAATAAATAAAGTAGGCCTAGTATTGCAGTGGAGCGTAATCAGTTAGTTTGTTTACTCACTTAACATACCATTACAATTAACTATCCATTATTACTCAGCATCAGTGAAGATGATATAAAGGCTTAACATATTCTATGATTTGCTACTTCGTATATCATCTTAAAATGGCAGAAAATATATGTTTGTTGCCTTATACACACCAGCTATACCGAGTGGCTCCAAATTTTGATTTAATTTCCAGATACTTGGCTCTAGTAATATCTACCAATAACATACAGTATTAAAGGTTTTATAACAACACTTTTAGCTACCTTGTTCATCATCTCCATAATAATCCCGCCAGTTTATTGGCCCATCATCAGAGTCATCACTAGAGCTGTCATTATCTCCCTGACTACTGACTACGATGGCTGGAAAAGGTTTATTTTCTTTGTTTTCCTGAGGCTGTGGAAGATTGGCTGTCTTGTGGTCTGTTGCTACCATTTTCCTGAAGGAAGAGAGAAGGTTTTTTTAACTTTAACATTTAAAGGTTTACGACACACACACACACTCACTGAAGTGTTAAGTCGCACTGAACGTTATAATAAAATATTCTAAACACAGAAGTGCTGGACCAATGAGTTTTTTTTCATTCCAGAGCCATGGAACGAACGTAAGCAAAAAGGATATTTAAAAACGTGCACGACATAAATCACATTAAATTTTTATGTAAAAGGCTACATCTGTATGTATGTGTCTTGAAGTTGTTGATCTTCGAACAAACATTCGGCAATATGTCAATAAAGACTTCTGTAAATAGTCACATGTTAATAAGTACTAAAACTGGCCTTTAACAGTGGCTAAAGTCAATTATGTTTAACAACAAACATTCCTATAATACAGCTTACCTGGAAATTAAGTGTAATAAAATAGTACCTGTTCTGACCAAATGCTGGACTTGTTGTAACTGACGTGGTAACTGTGTTGGTATGAGAACTACAAGAGGATGTGGTTGTTACGGTTGTAGATGCTGGAGTAGAGGATGAGAACAAATTCCACCGTTTTTTCAAAGCACTCTTCTTGGGCATTGCTGTTAGTTGGGGTTCTTTGGCAGGAACCTCTTGGACGACACTTGTGTCAATATCAGGTTGTGGAATGAACAAAATACCACTGTTTTGTAACTCTGAAGAATCTCCAATATCCTCGACTGCACAGTCTAAAAAACACACACCATTTTAAGTGAGCTCAAAAAAATCGAATTTTATTTATACATTTGTCTACGTCATTGCTTAATATGAGGGCATCAAAATATGTTCATTATCCTCAATTTTCCTTAAAAAAAGAATAAAAAACAGCTATTAGAATTTTTCTTTTAATCCAAAACACTTTTTAACGATATCAAATTATTAGTGTTCTTTGGAGTTATAGATGGAAAGCTTACCAACTGAGTCAAGTGATTTCTTCCCTAAATATGGAGATGGGGAAGAAAACATTGGAGGGGAGGAATGGGTCCAATTTCATTGACACTAATGGGTGGATCTGGAAGAGCTGACCATGATAGGTCCCCATCCTGTGGGGGCAATTCTTCAATGTCTGGCAAGTTCAGAAGACTAAGATCAGGATTAACAGGTGAAGCTGTAAAGGTGAAACAAATTTAGCATTTATTTAGGTAACTTATGTATTAGCCTACCAGCAGGTGTTCACGGCAACTTCTGAACGTACTAAAGCTATTTTTAGTAAATTACGACATTATTCAAAATTCTCCAATTAGTTCAAAACCAACATATTTCTGGTCCGTGTTGACCATCTCCAGTTGTAAGAAAGCAATAATTTAGCTTTATGAGATGCTCAAAAACAGAATAAACAATCTCTTTGCCATATGTGTTTACTGAAAGAATTGTTTGTTCGTTTGAAGTTAAGCATAAAGCTACACAATGGGCTATCCGTGCTCTGCCCACCACGAGTATCGAAACCCGGTTTCTAGCATTGTAAGTCCACAGACATACCGCTGTGCCACTAGGGGGCGTTACTGAATGAAAGAAATTTACTGGATTATACACTTGTTTCATACCAGATTCATTCAAACGTAATCTTGTTCCGACTACTTCCGTTTTCACCCGAAACTTCCAAAATTCATAACATATTACAAAGTACCGGCTATCCCCTTAATTTCTTACACTCTATAACACACAAACATCTACTACGAAGGCACAACTATCTCGAGGTATCCGCTAGTTCTAATCACTCACTTCACAGGTAAACAAAGTTTTAAACTTAAATTCAGAAAATAGTGAAATATATTATCCACAAATTAAGCTATATTTAATACTTAAATCAAAACTTAGGATTGAAAGCTCGTTTAAAACCAAAGACACTACCCATTCCTACACACTTGTCATATATATATATAATTTCCCTTGTGGTAGCTATAAAGCTACCTGAATTGGTAAAACTACGCATCACTTACAAACGCAAACATGTGGGAATTTCTGCTAGAAGTGGATTTAATTTACGCGAGTCTTGTATCTGACTACATCGTGAGAACACCAGCCATTCCATCCTTTTTGGAAATCTCCGACTCCAGTAAAATAGGTTATGAACTCAAATTGTTATAGAAAGCTCTTCAATTTTCAGTTATTACCAAACAACTCATTTCTGCAGTGGTTTAGACTACTTACATTTTATGTCATGTTTCTAACAGTTATTATAAAATGTAGGTACAAGTTAAATACAATTAATAATATAGCCCAGTCAACTTTAATTAACTACCATCAAAATTAACAATTTCTTCAGTTTTAATCACAACAACACTTCTTCAAAAGATACAGATTAGTCAATAAAAATACAAATTCCTGGTGACTGCTAGCTAGACTATTAGATTCAGCATTTAATGAAATCTTGTTGTAATGTAGACATCTTCTCCAATACTCTTATTATATCATTACCTGTCTGTAACACAAGAGAAAATCAAGTCTTTCAGCAATAGTTGCACCACTTTATCACAACATTAGAATTATAAGGGAGCATTGTTACGACAGGTTTACAGTGGAGCACTGTTACAATACAATTACAAGGGAGCATTGTTACGACAGGTTTACAGTGGAGCACTGTTACAATACAATTACAAGGGAGCATTGTTACGACAGGTTTACAGTGGAGCACTGTTACAATACAATTACAAGTGAGCATTGTTACAACAGGTTAACAGTGGAGCACTGTTACAATACAATTACAAGTGAGCATTGTTACAACAGGTTAACAGTGGAGCATTGTTACAACAGGTTTACAGTGGAGCATTGTTACAACAGGTTTACAGTGGAGCATTGTTACAACAGGTTTACAGTGGAGCATTGTTACAACAGGTTAACAGTGGAGCATTGTTACAACAGGTTAACAGTGGAGCATTGTTACTTTATGGAAGTGGATACATTCATTTTTTCTCTAAACAAGAATGCCATTGTGGTTGCCTAGCAACTGAAAAGAACTGGATAATGATAGTAACAGAATGTGCCACTGTAGTCATTACTTGGAATATGTTCAAAAATGATAAGTTCTTACTCACATAAAGTTTTTATATAAGTATTGGTTGTAACAGTGTCCGATGAGCCACTAGATACTGCAACAGATGAAGTGATGGTAGTCGTTACCACTGCCGTAGCTGTAGCATCACTGTATCTGAGTTTATTTCCTGCTTCTGTTGTCACCTGACCATTGACCTGAGAGGTATGATTATGTTTACTAGAATCTGTTAAAAGAGGAAAAAAAAAGTGTTAAACGTACCTAAAACAAAAACGACCACTAACAGTTCTGTATCTACAATGACAGGACTAACTCTCCTTGAAGTACCACAGTAACAAATTCTCCAGTTCAAATTACAATCACCATAAAATAAAACAAGAAATGACAGTTAGAGGTGAGCAATTAGTTGAACTTGCTATGCTCATTATATAAATTAGAGTCAACTAACTGATTATTCACACGTGAAGCTAACCTTCACATTTCCAGCATGTTTTGGTGTTTTTTTAAACACGTTCTAACCTACTCTTCATTTAATACGATAGTCATTAGTCATCTTCAGGTGTGATAGACAAGAATCATTTATTTTCTACCTGCCTTAGTGATATAGAAATTTTAAAAATTTCCCATTTAGTTAATTTCTATGCAATTTCAGTATAAATACATGGGCCAAATAATAACTGAGATCGTCATATTCTATTTCCTGTTTCTTTGTTCACTGCAGTAGACAACATCTGTTCTACCCAAGAGGGTATTGCAATAACACAGCAGATCCATGTTGAAAGGATTAGGACTCTAATATCCTCTACAAGCTGAGTTGAATTGATATTATTTAAACAATACAGCCGACCGATGCTGTGGGAGAGATAAAAAAGGTCATTCTGTGGAGCTGTCAAATTCACAAAGAAACTGGACTTACCTGTAGAATTCAGACACACTTTCTTAGTTCAATTCTACAGAAATAAATCCTGAGAGAATGAAATACCTGTGGGACTAAACATAACCTAGTAGAATAGACTGTCTTTTCATGTACACAAGTATGTACGTTTAGTTCGACAGAGATAAATCCTGAGAGAATGAAATACCTGTGGGACTAAACATAACCAAGTAGAAGAGACTGTCTTTTCATGTACACAAGTATGTACGTTTAGTTCGACAGAGATAAATCCTGAGAGAATAAAAAACCTGTGGGACTAAACATAACCTAGTATAAGAGACTGTCTTTTCATGTACACAAGTATGTACGTTTAGTTCGACAGAGATAAATCCTGAGAGAAAAAAAAACCTGTGGGACTAAACATAACCAAGTAGAAGAGACTGTCTTTTCATGTACACAAGTATGTACGTTTAGTTCGACAGAGATAAATCCTGAGAGAAAAAAAACCTGTGGGACTAA